AACAAAAAATTTGACACTTTTTTGACAAATCTGAAGAAACGGCTAGGCCGATCGTGAGGCAAAATTAACGAGCACGAACCAGCACGTGTTTATCGAAATTTATCGAATTTTCAAATAGGATTGCGCATTTTTAAGAAAACCGACGACCAAAGCGGAAATTTTGCCTTAGGTAAAAAAGTGCTCCTCATTTTTTCACACTTTGATATTTTGAAAATTAAAACGACTTGTCGTAGGGTCGAAATATTTATTTAAATTTGAGATCATGATCCCAATCGTCAAATTTTATAACTTTCATCGTAAAAAAATATTTAACAATTAAATACGAAGAAACGATCCAACCGATCTCTTAAAACTAATCAGCACGATTCCCAAATATCTTTCAAACAGTTTCTGAATGTTTAAAAACGATGTAGAATTTTTGGCTAAAACGTGTACGAAAATTTGTACACTTTTCTGTTGATTAGAAACGACTTGGCCGATTGTTGCACAAAACTGACAGACGGTAGTCGTTATCTAGTTATATCAAATAACTTTTAAATTTTTGAAATCGATTTAACCGTTTTTTAAGAAAATGTTGGCAAAAAGTCAAAAATCGGCTCATATACACACTTCTTTTTCAAATTTAGTCTCAAACGATTCAGAATGATTAGAAACGTTGAGAAAACATAAAAATTACAAGTCGATTTTTTTTGTGAGAATATACTTGATATTTTTCTATTGTGTTATTTTCAAGGGCGGCCAAAAAATGCTCGCACGCAGGCGGCCGCATATCCAGCACGGTCCTGATCACAATAAATCATTTTCTAGAAAAAAAATTGATATTACAACTTGCCTTGTGTTTGGGGATAGTTGTAACATCTACCGGAGCAAGTAGTAATGACAATACCTTTAATTATCTATTTTTCCTGACACAAATTTTCCTGATACAATCTACTCAATCTACTTTGTTTGTGTGTAATATTTATCACAAACCAGAAAATACCACTCTGCTGATTCAGTTTCTGAATTCGAATATCATATTTTTTTAGTTCTATCTACTTAGGTTTTATTTTTGTTGATTCACCTTTGAGTTTCCACTTCGCCTTTCATTTACATTTTTCTTTACTTTTATCATATTTATTGTTTTTTTATCTTTTCTTCATTTTTTATTTGAAAAATTTATTTTCCAGGAATATGCATCAATACTATAGGTGTAGATTTTCTTTCGTGTATGCTAAGTGTAGTACTAATCTTAAATCTTTGCCTACCAAAACCAATGTGGTCTAATCTTAGATGGCAAAAAAGGCTTTTTGTAGAATGAAGAAACTCGGTTGCTGAATTAATTTATAAATTTCCTACTGCAGAAAGAAAGCAATCTACATCAAAATTTGGGGCATATTGTAACCCCAGGTGTGATTAGGATAACTATTTAAACAATTTAGCAATCACAATAATTGTTACATATTATCAAAAATAAAAATAAATAAATTTAAATTATAATTATAAAAATAAATTGGTCGATAATAATAACACAAACCAAAATTTTATGATAGTGCAATTATACTGCGTGTCAAAAGTGATGGGCCTGCGCAGTTCTGTATATTAGTTTATGTATTGCATCGGCCTGCGGGGCAGTAGCTATGATAATATTATGTAGAATGGTTTACCGGTTCGAACGAGACTAAAAAATATTTTTAATATCGTTCAAGATCCTATTGAAAAATGCTTGTTTCTACTTACCCCTGCTGCAGTAATCCTCGAGCACCTGTAATAATTCCAAACTTTTGCTTTTTTTATTAATCTACCCTCCGTAGGCCTATGAGGGGACGTCCATTAATCACGTGATCTTTAAAGGGGAGCAGGGGGGTTGGCAAAAAATCACGAAATATCACATAGGGGAGGGGGGTCTAGTGTATTTATTTTTCAAATACTACCACCTATCGCCAAGGGAAAGCGTGGGTCCAAAAATTCTTAGAAATTGCTAACGTTATTAATGGACTTCTAATAATATTTTATATTGTTCGTAACATTTTGCAGCAAGAATTTGAATTCATATATATATATATATATATATATATATATATATATATATATGTATAATATTTAATTGAATTTATTACGTTTTTCATTTAATTTGTATGTAATATATGCTTATTTAAACATAGAAGTAAAATGTAATAATAATACTTTTCCATTTTGTAAAATAACCCATATTTTTTATTCGATACCAGATGAATTTACTCTGCGATTGACAAATATATTCACAAAACTGTTTGAATGGAACGCCACAGTTAACTGGTTAAAGAAGGTTACTGTGCTTTTATGTATGGAAGTTTTACTCATGTTACCTGTTTTAGCTGCAGGTAACAAAACTCATATTAAAATCTTCTGCATGTATTACAGGCCATTGATAATAATTATTTTTGAATATATTTGTACATTTATGTATTTAACTTACATAACCTAAGGCAACATTTTCTCAATTTACAAAGAATCCACGCAGTACTGTTGACAATATAATTAATCATAACAAACTTATTTTCCATTTTTTATAGTTAAATTTCAACGTTTGTGTTTCACTATTCATTTTTTCACGTTTATTTTTAGCTTTTCTGATTATAGTTTTCAAGCTATGTCTGAAGCTAAGTCTGAAGAAGAAGCAGCATATGTTTTTGCCAGAAAATCCAATTTTCTAATTTTATGTTCAAAGTCATTCTGAATCTTTTGATACAAAAATAGAGTAAAGTATTGGAAAATAAAAAATATATCACAATTTTGATGATGATAAAATTCGTGATCCTAAGTACACTGAAATATACAAACGTGCGGGCCTCTAGTTTGAAAGTTGCTAAATCTCATTTTTGTATTGATTAAATTGATTATTTACAAATATCGGGAGGATTTTTCTTCTTGCACTTACCTTTAGTTAAGTTTGTTAGCGGATTATACATTTTTAACTTCCCGTAAGGTAAGTTATTGTAATGGGTCGAAAATCGAAATTGAAAATTTTTACATTTCTCGACGTTTTGAAGGTTTCTGAACATTTTGGCATACCTCAGAAAATGGATGTGTATGTGTTTGTGTGTGTGTGTATGTATGTATGTATGGATACAAATTTCCACTCACGTTTTCGGGCGTACGGATCAACCAATTTCAATGGTTCAAAAAACACTCGATTACTATTGATAGGGAGATGAGCTGATTAGTTTTTGACAAAGGCAGGTCCAGCAGTTACGGAGATAAAGAGCAAAGAGTGCAGACAATAAAAATCGAGTTTTTGAGAGAACGGAGCATCCGATTTGAATGTACTAAAAAACATTCAATTAGTAATGATTGGGAGAAGTGTGTATCAGATTCTGGCAAAGGCATGCCCAGCCATTTCCCAGATACGGAGCTAAATGTGCAAAAAATGGCAGTTTTTGAGAGAACTAAGCGTCCGATTTAAATTATTCAAAGAACTTTCTGCTTGTCTTAACAAAATAATTGATTTTGGAAAAAAAAATTGTTTCAATTTTTTTTTTCAAAACAAAAATTTTTCGTATATCGAAAATAATTCAGATTTTATTTTAATTCTGACTATAGTTCTAATATACTTTAAACAAATAATTTTAACTTTGCAATTCAGTTTATATAATTCTTATAAATATTAGACAATGTTACATAATAACATTCAGTATTCGTCGAACATTTCGTTACGGTACGGGAAGTTCCAGCAATTGGCCTTAAGGTACGATGTCATACACCCCACTAGTTTTTTTTATCTGTTTTAGTCGTATATTTTAACATTTTTAATTGCTATATTAATTACATATCCGCTGTACATATTCTATATATGTATCCAATATGAGTACTTATTCATTACATCAATTTGTTACATCAAATGAACAAGATGAAACAAATAAAGAATTTCATACTTATTAACTTCCAGTAGGGTAGTTATATTTAGTAATGGGCGAAAATCGAAAATGAAAATTTTTGCGCATCTTCACGTTTTGAAGGTTTCTGAACATTTTGGCAGATGTGCTGATTAGTTTTTGGCAAAGGCAGGTCCAGCCGTTACAGAGATACGGAGCAAAGACTGCAGAAAATATAAATCGAGTTTTTGAGAGAACGGAGTATCCGATATGAATGATCTAAATAATATTCAATTTGTAATGAGAGAAGAGGTGATTAGTTTTTGGCAGAGACAGGTCCAGCCATTTCGAAGATACAGAGCTAAATGCATATGATTTGAATGATTCAAAAAACTTTCTGCTCGTTTTGATAAAATAAGTTTGATAAAAATAATTGCTTTTGAAAAAAAAATTTGTTTCATTTTTTTTTCAATATTATTTTTTTTAAATTTTTTTTTTTTTTTGTATATCGAAATTAATTTAAATTTTAATGTTAATTTTGGCTGAATTTCTAAAGCTCAGTTGCATACTTCAAATAAATAATTTTAACTCTGTAATTCAGTTTATATAATATTAATTCTTTTAAATAAATATTAGACAATTGTAACATTATTTATAATAATCTATTTGAAAACATCTAATACTCCTCGATTTCGTTATGCTGCGGGAAGTTCCAGCAATTTGCCTTAAGGACGATACCATATACCACTAGTTTTTTTTTATTATCAATTGTTATTTTTGTTACTAATCAATTTAGCATCTATATTTTACAGAAAATCATTAGAAAACATACTATTTTTTACTTGAAATCTACAATAATATTGAATACAATCAGATTTAGAAAGGTTAATTCAAGTAAAAGGGTAGTTTGGCGTATGTTAGAAGGCGAGAATAAATGCAATACATTATTTAAATAGCATTCGAAAGCACACCACGTTCGAAATAATTAAAAAGGTGAATATCAATTTAAAAATCCCGCGTGTTTTGTTTTACCTGACAGTATTCATTCTTCCTGTAAGGGTAGCCAACATAAGGAAGTCATTACTAAATGCCATAAAAGTGAAAAAGCAATCTCACCACCAGTCAGAACGTAGGACTGTGTAGTACAGATTACATTTCCAAGTAAATTCAGCCATTTTGCACTATTGTTATAAAATTTAGCGCCATCGAAAACTAGATATTTGGAAAATTCAACTACTTTGGGAACTACAACTGTAAAACAAATTTCAACTTACCTGACCTACAAAAGTATTAGTCCGCCAAAGTTTTTTCCCACCGAGTGCATTCCTAAGTTTGCCATTGTTATATTTTTGCATCATTTGAAATATGTCAGGAATAGCGGTTACAAGACTTGGCGAAGAAAGAAAAGCATGGCGAAAAGATCACCCATTTGTAAGTACACTTTCATTATATACACCGTTTATGAATTATATGTTTGTATATTTCGAACAAATCGAATGGTTGTCATTATTTCATAAAACATAACCTGGAAATTTCTATAGGGCTTCGTCGCCAGGCCGATGAAAAATGCCGATGGTACATTAAATCTCATGACATGGGATTGCGCTATTCCAGGCAAGAAAGCGGTAAGTTTGCTAAAATTGAGGTTTATATAATTCATATATTATAGCCATTCCCTACGAATGAGCATTCTTGAATTATGTATGTAACAATATATGTCTGTAAGTGACATTCTATCTCACATGGGAATAAACTAATAATAAAAGTAATTTTATATATTCAATATTTCAAATGTTTATACTTTATAATAATCTGTATATTCCATTATACAGTTAGTTTTAGAATTCACCGATCGCTTTACAAATTCATAAATCGGAGTACCCAGATTTTAACTAAGTTGTGTCAAGTTTTTATAAATAAATAAATATTACTTTACTGTGAAATATTTCATATTTATTTTATTATACATTTAAAAGTTTTTGTAATTTTCAGACATCTTGGGAAGGAGGTTTATACAAGCTAAAAATGATTTTCAAGGATGACTATCCAACAACACCTCCAAAATGTAAGTTTGATCCACCATTATTTCATCCAAATGTATACCCGTCAGGAACTGTGTGTTTGTCCTTGCTGGATGAGGACAAAGATTGGCGTCCCGCAATTACTATTAAACAAATTTTATTGGGGATTCAGGATTTGTTAAATGAGCCTAATGTAAAAGATCCCGCTCAAGCAGAAGCATATACTATATACTGGTAAGGGTATTAATAAACAGAGTAATATTCTATAAATTCATTTAAGGCATAATCTAGATTTTATTAGGATTGAAATAACACTTAATAATTACTTAATAATTTTATTCAACACTATTGCTAAATACACAGTTCATTCTTTATATCCAAGCTAATGATACTTTAAAATCTATCTTTAAACATATTCTTAAGTAGCAGTAATTTGAGAATCTCAACATATATATAAATACTTATTTAACCTGAATAAAATAGCTTTGACTTGTTTTTTCAGCCAAAATCGAATGGAATATGATAAAAGGGTAAAAGCACAAGCAAGAGCAATGGCCGCCATAGATTAATTAATTGTAAATAGATACCAATTTCCATAAGTAATAATATACAGGTTATTCTAAGACTTCTTTGTCAAAGTTTTGTTTTAGATTTTTTAAATATATTTTTGAATAAACTTTTACTTTTTATTACAGATTCAGGAAATACAGAAACTGGTACGTTTTAAAAATATACATATTTCTTTTGACACTGCATAATGATAAAAATTAGTTTTAAATTGTATAAGTAAGTTTTACTATAGGTATTATAATTCTTGTAAGTTAATCTAAATATACATTTCTTAAAAAAGACTTTCTTTAACATATAAATTTGCAAAAGAACATACAAGTTTAGAATCATTATGACCTTTACAACTAATTGTACTTTTTTCTATCTTTTCATTTATTTAGAAGCGGAGTGAATAATTACAGCAATCCAAAATTAAACAAATATTACTCAATATATAATGAAAATTGTGTTCATTCTTTGAATTCGCAGCACTTTCTAATCAAGTAAAATAGCAGAGCATCATAAAAAATTTGAGCAATTCTATTAAGACACTATTAGTTAACTAATAGCATTATTAATGCCCTTTACTAATTTATTTTTGCACAACCTAACATTGCTTTAACATTTTCAATTAGTTTAGTCAACTGACTAATTTGCAAGCATGTATTGCAAATTTTATATTACATAAAAGTAAAAGCAAGGGTTTATTAATTTATTGCTGTTGTACAATATAATAAAAATCAATACAATTTGTTTTGTATCAATAAGTATATAAAACCCAAATTTGTACTAATGGGAAGGCAACCACATTGGCATGCCTATTTTTAAAAATATCAAATTTTTTCTAGCAATACATTAAAGTATACGTGAAGTAGGATTTGGTAAAATCTGCTGTTTACATGGCATTTGATATAAAATTAATTTAAATATAAACACATATGCCTTATAATTCAATAAATTAAAATAATTGAATCTCTAAGAATCTCCACTTTCTGCTAAACTTTTTTGTAAACAGTTTGACTCTATTAAACACTTCATCTACAGAATTCATAGCATCAATTCTATGCACTAAGTTCATTTTTTCATAATGATTAATAATGGGCATTGTTTGATTCATATGAGTTTCAAATCTTTTTTTCAAACTTTCAAGGTTGTCATCGGTTCGGCCAGAGCCAGCACTTCTCTCGCTAAACATCTTTGGGTACAAGTTTCTTCAGAACACTCGAAAAACAAAACAAACAATAATTTTACTTATCAGCCATTGTGGCATTCCACCCTAGAACAAAAAACAAAATCACTTAATTCAAGTTTATTAGGTTTTATAATAGTGTATCAGATTTTTACAATTCATTTTCAATTGTAAATGTAAATTATTTTCAAATTACCCCTAGTGAAAGATAGGCAAATGGGTTGTTCAGTTAAGAGCATTGTTCAACTAACCTTCTAAGTTATCATAATTTCGTGGAAATCCATCTATGAGAAACTTTGACTTTCCCGATTTAATCATAGCTTCTTCTAGTAAACTGCATGTTACTGCAACCGGTACAATTTTTCCAGTAACAATACAATCATCAATAATGGCCCTGTGAGGCGTATGTTCATCAGATCTAGCTTGACGTAAAAGCTCGCCGGCCGAAAGATGTTCAAAACCGAATTCATTGGCAATTCTTTGGCATTGAGTACCCTTTCCTAAGAAAAAAGTGAAAGATTCAAAAACGCATAATAGTGATATATTTCATTAATATTCTACCTGATCCAGGTCCTCCCAGAACGAAAATGACTTGGGGCAACATTTTCCTAACCCTTTCTAATATACGTTGTGTCATTTACTGTATGAAAGAAGATAAGCACACGAGCGATAAGCTAATTTAATTGCACCGTGGAATTACAATTTGGTTATACTGCAAAAACAAGTAACATGATCACACGGTTATAAAAACAATTCAAAATGGCACACAAAACCAACCATGCAGTCAAATAATCAATTCATTGCTCAATAATTAATTGATGAATATAAACAAATGGGGGAAAAAGTTATATTTTATTACTTGATGATAATATACAATTATTCTCGACGAAAATCATATGTAAATCTTTGCTCATATACATTCATCGCCTGTGTCAGAGCACTCTGGCGAATCTCGTTGAAATGATGAAAATATTTTTTATATTGAACATTATTATTAGATATTTCATTATGTTTTTATACCAAATATATAGAAAAATGAAGAAATTTAAATGTTAAAGTATGATTTAATTTGATATAAAATAATATTAAATATAAATTTAAAGTACCAAGAAGGCTAAACATTTTATATGCTAAATATTTTGTTTGTCTTAATTTTACATCAGAATATGTAAATGATTTGAGAAATGCATCCTTTCTAACACGGGGTACGGGGTATTCTAATATTGTCTAGGCTTTCTAAACCAAATTGATCACATTGAAAGCTAAAGGCTCTTCTGGGAACTTCTCAGGCGCGTTTATGTTTACTTACACGAAGCTAATTTATGATAATATCACATTTCTTTGTCATACCAACATACGACGCTCAACCGAGAATAAAAAAAGTGTAACAACATTGAAAGACAAAAACCTATGTGCGTCAAACAAAACTGTCAAACAAAAAAACAAAACTGTCAAACGTCAAAATAGTACACCCATTGTTATATTGTCTCTCACCTCTCACATTTAGACACCTTTTAGACAGTTAAATAGAAATCCCAAATGTAAGTATATAATTATTTACGAAAGCGTTCTTTTACATTTACATGGTCATACATTGTCTCTTCACAACCATATTATTTCAGGGAACCAAACATATAGTTATTCAAAACCTAGTACAGTTTTGTTAGAAATTATTAGGAATTTTTAATTAGGGCTTCGCAGAGTGTTTTAGTGTAGTTATTTTATTTACCCAGGTAAATGTTATTCAGGTTGTTTTTGTTTGCTTAGTGTGTTTTAATTCTATTGTAGGGTTCACTGAATTAAGATTAGGACTTCAGCCTGAACAATCAAAATAGCTACAAGAGTCTTGTAGCATGTAACATCTGATTATTAGAACTTAACTCATATGTATGCATGTATATATATATATATATATATATATATATATATATATATATTAAATGCTAGCATATGTATAGTAATGTAATAAACTTAAGTTCAGTCCGATATTTTTGCCTATTTTTATCTTTAAGTGATCTGATTACTTTTTCTAACAATGATTAACATAGGTAATAAGGAACACAATTAAAACCATCTATTTATTTCATCAAATATTTTTATTCAAAATATATACACACTATTTACAATAAAAGCATGTCACAGGAAACATGTAATAAATAATATAGAATAAATATAAATAATATAGAATAAATATAAAAATATAGAATAAATATAAACATTGAAATTAAACATAAAAAAGAGAAAAAAATTGCATTTTGAAGAAATGATTAGCCAAACCAAACAAAGTAAACCGAACAATAATGAAAACTGAATTTTAAATTTAAATGGAAGTATGGACAGAACCCTTGTTATATAACTTCCACCAACCGAAAAACCGTATTTTTTGTAGAAGTTATTAATAAAACAAAAATGTATTTAGTTTTATAATCATACAAGTCAATTAAAAATTTACCCTTGATATGTTCTTTCAGGTTCTTATCTAACGAAATAAATTTTATATCTTGACTGTGTCCCACATGTGTCTTCCAAAATTCAACATGAACTGTTCCATTGTGATTAATAGTACAACCAATCCTTGATGGGCAAGCATATCCGGTTTTTTGCTCGTTTTAGTAAACAAGCGTACAGTGGGTTTTTGGTCATTTGTATATGACCTGTGGCAATCGAAATAAATTGTCTTGTCATCAGTTTTTGATTTATATCCTGAATTGCATTTTACATAATGCGAAAACTCTTTCCGCTCTATGTCCGTTTTCCACAATTCAAAATCTACAAAGTCAAAAATGTAGGTAATTGTGTAATTGGGGTTATAAATTATGAGAGAGAAGACTTCAAACCTTTAATGTTTTGAAACACAAACTGTTCATAATCAATTGTAGTTTTGTGATAAAACTCAATATGATATCGTATAAACCTGTGTACCTAGAAAAAACAGAGGAGCAGGGAGGGAGTGGACATCTTATTCTGGATTTCCTTGATGGTGTACCTACAAAAATGATTTATATGTAACACAAATAATAAAATGAATGTACATATATAAAAGCACTACATACCTGTAAAATTTTTCCTTAGTACTGATTGGGAAACAGGGAATGGGAGGCGTGTGAATTTGAACTTTAATAGAGGA